TTCGAGGTCTCTATACGTGACCGATGATGCTTATACTTGTAGAAATCAATTTCCTGCGTTTTCAAGTTATCAGAAGAATCTTTGGATTTTTTCGTTATAATTTTTTTCTAATTTCTTATTTTCAAATCGATCGTACCAATATATTAAAACTGAAAATGACATAAAGTCCTAAATAGTGGGTCTGTCTGACGAATCGTTTATCCATTTAAGAGAACCATCGATCATATTCACAAATCACAAGTTTTTATTTTGGTGCTCTATAAAATTCCTTATGATGGTGGATTTCCTTGCAATGCTGCTAAACTTAAAAAAAGGCATGGCACAATAGCTTTTGACTAAGAGCTATAGCTAAAGATTCTAAATCTATCCTCCTTGTTTTTCATACATAACGATATTTCTTCAAAATTTTACATAGATGCATACGATTAATTCAAATCAATCAAGCTTTTTATTCTTATTATTCACAATACATAAATAATCTCTGCAAACTTTAAAACGAATGGCAGTTCATCTTTTATAATAAGAAACTGGTCACAGCCCGATCAAAATAAGAAAACCCCAAAAAGTTAATTTCAATCAATAGTTTAAGCAAAAAAAATATTTTTAATTATTTTCATTTTAAAATATTTTTAAACATAAATAAATAATCAATATATAAGATCGATGTATAAATTATTATTATTATTATTATTTAACTATTCGTTATATATATTTTTATCTTATCATATATATATCGTGATTCCTTTATGTTATTTTTAAACATTAACGGTTTGATTTCAGTGTAACTATGATTAAAATAATAAATCATAAATTAATGTCTTTACGAATTTAATGTTTGACTTGATTTTAAAGATATTGATAAATATATTAACATCACCTTGTATTTTCAAAGCATTTTTGCTTATATATGTATATATGAATTTGCTTATTGAGAAATGAGATTGATAATAAACTTCGGGCCTTTTATGGAAGCACACATAATATAATCACTCAAAGCAAAACAATGTAAAAGGAAGAAACCTTACATATTAATATGAGAGAGAGAGAGAGAGAGAGAGAGAGAGAGAGAAGTTACTCTCTTGAATCTCAAGTACGAAACTAAACTATTTTGGGTTGATTCTTTTAAAAGAAAGCAAGTTACTTTCATGATGATAATGTTGGGTAAAAGTAATGGCCAGTTATGAATTCACGATCTAATCAAGAAAACAACAACATTTTCAAAAAAGCGCGTAATATAAAGTGAATGAGATACTCATCTTTCTAAAAGTGCCTTGTGTAATCGAAGAGCAAAAGATGCCCATATTTATGCTTAAAGTTGTCGAGTAAACGTTATCTTAATAATATATACATTTTGGTTCAGCATAATCTTGGAATCCGATTAATTGTTATCTATGTCAAATAACTTATCCTATATCATTATACTCCCAGAAGCACTTCCCACTAAAAGTGTTAAAATCTCTCTCAGTAAAAAATCAAAATTACAGATTCAAATCGCATAAAAAAAAGATGTTAAAAGTTTTGACATCCAAAAGTATACGAGACACTTACATGAGCATACGCACACATATAGAAATAGAGAGAAAAAAAAGGAACAATTTATATTAATTTGTTCTACATATACGAAAGAAAGAAGAAAGAAAAATATTATCTTACTAATCCCATATATGGCACTATATTGTTAATTGATGATTAAGTACTAACTAACTAGCATGAAACAGTAAAAGGATTTTCTTGTTATCCAAGTCTTAGGATAATCATTGAAATTAATTATTTAAACATTAAAACTAGGCTCGATAAAAATAGAAATATATTCAAGAAGTGACGATGTGGCTATAGCCATATTCGAACATGAAAGTGGGAGAATGCCACGAGGGTATGCGCGTAGCTTTATGTTGACATGGCTAGAATTCATTGGCTGCTGTAGATTGACTTAAGAAACCTTGAGACTGATTAATAAGAATACTGGACGATTATTTTACTTTGTAAGAGTTTGGTTGAATTAGGGGCTATATCCCCCTCCCCTTTTTGTTCCATCTCTAAATAATATGTAAAAATAAAATAAAATAATTTGAAAATGAATAATAAAAAAAGAATATAAAAACTTCTATTATGATTTGAAAGACACATTAAAAAATGATTGGAAGACATACATTGGAAAGAAATAATTGGCCCGAAAGAGAGGAGAGGAATATGAAGCCGTCACTCATTATCCAACATCTTCCTGGCCTTGAATTCACCTAACATAGTTCCATCCTTGGACAAAACCCTAACCTTGATCACAATCATTTGTTATAATCTTCTTCTTGGGGAGGGATAGATAGTCATTATGTTATTTTAGAATAATCTTCTACGTCAAGCCCTCGTAATGACGTGTATGTTGAATGTGTGGTGCTGGCATCACATGTGTCCTCCAGCGCATGCTCAACTCCCCGTTGATTCAGGGTTTCAAAGAAAATAACATTTTTTTAACAAGTTATCTATGCTATTCTCTACGCTGTTTTCACTTTGCGTAAGACTTCTACCCATAGTCTATTATTTGAAACTATATTAATTAAGTGCCAAATCTTGACTCCTTTCAAAATTAATGCATACCTGTTATATCTATAACTAGCTACCCTTTCATTAAGTTCTCTAGTTTCTTTAATGCATGATAACTTTAACTATGAAATAATTAAATATAAAATACTTACTCATTATTCATATATTTTGATTTAAATTAATATGTAAGTTATTAATTTAACTATTTATTATTATAAGTATTTTTAAAATATACTATAAATTTATGACATATATATAACTATTTAAAGTATTTTGATAAGTTAATAATTTATTTTTTTTCTTAAAAGAAAAAAAAAGCAATATTTATCCGATTGATGCAGAGTTTAATCTAAAATTACGTGAGTCACTGTTTCCCCGACAGGATATATGACCTTAGTTCCCTTTCAGTAACCGTGTCATCGTCCCCACTGAACTTCACCTTTGGGACCACTCGGTTCCCATTTCTTGCAATGGCGAAAAAGGTCCATATATCATCTTAATATGAAAATTGAAAAGTGACCAATTTTACAAGTAATCCTGGTATATCCTTCTTGGTTATATATTCTCTGTCGTTTTAATTAACACTTATATATCTATGTATATATATGATCATACTATGTTTTTTCTCCTCCTTTGTCATTGTCATATATACAGTGCCCTTGAGACGTAATTAAATGTCCTATAATTAAAAAATATGTAGAAATATTTTCATTATGTATGATCAAATAGTTGAAGAAAAGAGAGTTAGGACCCCCAGTCGAGTCATCATCCATACATACTCCCTTCATTATCATAATTTATTTAGATGATCCACGCTGAGACAAATATCATTTTTGTCCGCATCTATATTATTATTGCTCCTGCTTGCATCTCTCATCATTCAGAAACAAATCAAAAAGGGCAAAAAAATCACATATTAGAAATTAAAATTCATAGATAAGCTAGCATGCAACATGGCCTTATAATTAGGTCCTCCGCGGACCCCAGATCAAAGACAATTCTGGTGTCCCACAGCATGCATATCGTTCCAAACTATTATTCTGTGATCCAAAATGGAACATATGGGACTTGTATAAGTTCATGATTGGCATTAAATTCTAATTCCAGCTATATACATGAATTATTTATTGTGTTTTTCTAAGTGCTGTCGTTGCTCAGCTGGGCTCACGAGGTTAATCAAATCTTTCAAGTGTTCTCGATGGAATCTTAATTGATACTTCCATTAAATAATTGGAAGCATGAACTTATTAATTGTAGCTCCTATATATGGATGTTCACTTCTTAAATATGGTCTGTGATTGACATTGCGTACTGTGAAGCTTTTTATGTGTTTCCTAACCCACCAATAAAACAAACAGATAGGGCCACATTTGTGTTTTGTGAAATGGAGCAAAAGTTTTTTAAATGTGCCATGGAGAAAGATTCAACATGCAAAAACATTGTCCCGCAAAAGTACCGGAAAGAAAAAAACGAAAAACGTGATTTTGGGATGATCTACAAGTAATTTCCTTGATTCAATGCACGCTGATAAAAAAAATTTAAACCATCGTCAATTGATTAATTAAAAATATATAAAACCGGAAAAGTGTTGGACTACTCCCACCAATGATCAGGTCTCATTGCTTGACATTTTGGGCCGAAACTTTTTTAACGAGATGGAACGAAAGTTGATTAATAAACGTCATTAAGGAAAAGTAAACGAAAGTGATTATTGGAATTCCAGTAGGATAGATACAAAAAAGACGGTTTGGAACACAAAGATTCTCATAATTAAATAAATATATTAAAACATATAGAAATATGCCTTTATCTAAATTATAAAATAAATTCAAGGTAGTTAAAAAAAGTAAGATATTTATAAAAGAAAATAAATGTATTGCTTTATTTTCATAAAAGGTATATACAACACGTTTTCTTCTTCCGGAAGACAATGGGGGCAAAAATAACTTTTTTAATAATAATGCAAATAAAAGGGTATTTTGGAGGCTTTCTCTAATAATTTTACATGGCTTTTTCCCCATATATGTTGCAGAAAATAAATCAATCATTCTACTCTTTTTAGTTATTCGACGCTTTCTTGTAACTTTGGTATTTCTTGAAACTTCTTACTATATTTCCAACCAGTTACACAAGCATGGCCCTGCCTGAATATTGTAGTAAAGAAATTTTATATGGCAAAGTCTCTTATCCATCCTAACTATATATATATACACGGTACCAACCCTCCTCCCATAATACCTTATATTTCTAATATCCAGAGGGAGTAATCCAAACCTTCAATTATATTGATTTTCCATATTTCTATATGGCCACCTCTACCATATATATCCATAAACCACTACCCATCTAAATTTTCAAAAAGATCTCAATTAGATTTCCCTATTTCGTTCTCTCTCTAAGCTAGCTATTGCACATCTTTATACTCTTCTTTCATAGATCATCTCCTTCAAAACAGCAAATTCATGGGCCTTAGAGACATTGGTGCTTCACTGCCTCCTGGCTTTCGGTTTTATCCGAGCGATGAGGAGTTGGTCCTTCATTACCTTTACAAAAAGATCACTAATGAGGAAGTTCTGAAGGGTACCTTAATGGAAATCGACTTGCACACGTGCGAGCCATGGCAGCTTCCTGGTATATATTCATATGACCTTTCTTTCTTTCTTTCTTTTTTTCAATTATAAGCCATATATATATTACATTAATTATCATCCTTGCTTGATCTCGTTAATCTTAAGCGGTTCCTGACAAATCTTTGTTTTGCACTGCATGAGTTCTATTTTTGTTTCCCTTGCTTATCTTTCTGGTGTCTTTTGTGATTAATGATAATCACAATGGTTACTTCACATTCACAAAAGAGGGTATAGTTTAATCCTTGTTTGTTCATAAACATGGTGCCGACAGGCTTCAGTAACTCAAACGAAATATTCTAAACAATTCAGGAAATTAACATAAATAAAAGGGCAACATGTCTAGCGTTTATAGTTATTGAAAAGTAGCAGAGTTTTGCCTCAAGAAGAAGAGCGAAAGCTGAGAATACATTAAAATAATAAAAAAAATATAGAGATGGAGGAGGGGCTGTTACAGTTACGTTACGGGTAATAGTTTATTCATTTCCTCAATGATTAAGGTAATGCTAACTTCTTGATGAATACTCGTCTCTCCCAATAAAAAAATCATGTCAGTTCCTCATAGAAATATATAATATACTACAACTTGATTTGTTATCAAAATTTATCAACCTTATTTTTTCGTCTTTCAAATTTTACATCTCTTTCTCTCTTTATTTTTTTTTCTTATCACATCACTGATCATAGTTATTATTTTTTAATATATCTTTTTCTTCCGTTCTAACGTGTATACTCCCGTGTGAAATCATCATTTTCTGAAAACATATATATGACTATATGAGCCCTTATAATTGCTTTTGTCCTTTTAATGTTTGTACATAGTTGTTTTTGGCTGTAAGCGCGTCACAAACACGTTCATTTTTTAATATTGCTTATAAATCTTTTTATGAAAGATCGCAACCATGACTTTTGTCTGCCTGCTGTGTAGATTCTATATTCCTCTTTCTTTAAACCTATTTATTCCGTTCCAAGCTATTTCCTACCATTTTCTTTCTTCAGTCAAAAAAAAAAAAAAAAAACTTCACCTTGCACTCTATTTCTGTGGTTAGTCAATTGTTATTCTTCCACAGAATAATACACAGTGCAAGACTTTGAAGAATTACTTCAGTTTAATTTCTCACAGTACTTTCTTCAGTGAGATTAATTATTATATTATCCATTTTTATTTATGTACTTTATATAAAGGAGGTATTGGATATACCTATGCTGAAGTAGAAGACACTATTGCGCCATACCTTTTTGTCCCTCAATCACTTATCCCGTGTTATCTGTATTTGGTATCAAAACAAATGTGATTTACATGCATGGCCTATATCTGCACATGAGGGTCATTTTCATATTCAAATATCGTCTCTATTACATTGTTAGTTCACCGCAAGTACCAAAACCGTTGACACCAAACCTTGTTAATTTCCCGGTACATGCATTTATGTATATAAATACATAAATGCATGCACATGCACCACACGAGCATTTGTTCTTCATATACAAATATTTTGGCTTTTTGCTCTTCATGAGTCCATGATATAAAGGTTTGTTTTACATCTATTTTAGATTATCAATAAATAATATAACAAGTAACATTCATTTAGTAGTACTTTTGAGAGCGATAATTGATGTTGCCGTACGTTGCAAAAAACAGTAATCGACCATTTGTCACAAATCCAAATTACCTGTTCACTGTGAGTGTTTCTTTCCCTATTTGTCTAATAGAGAAAATATTTAAACAAAAAAATTAACAATTAAGAGACAATGTTATATATCAACTACGTGTAATTTTTTGTTGGGGGGTAGAAATAAAGGGACAAGTGGTTTCTATCCATTTAAAGCAATATATTGTGTGCTTGGTTCTCTGCTCTCTCACCCCGGTCATGAATTTCAATGCATTGTTTTATGAAAAGTAAGAAATTGTTACTACTAAACAAACACGCTAATTTGTGCCCTCTTCGTTGTCACTCTGATTCATGCAAATATAGAATGGTTGTCACTTCAATTTACGCTTACAATGCATATATGTGACTTATATTGGATAATAATAATTCAATTATTGGTTAACACGTTTATCATTTTAGTTATTAGATTGGTGATATGTTTTTCTAAACAAAGCAAAAAAAAAAAAAGAAGTTAGATTGTAAACAATCAATACATGTCATTGACTAGAGTACAGGAGAGAAGTAACATTATATGCATAGAAATAGAAAAACTAATTTAAGAATATTTTTAAACATTATATATATATATATATATATACACACATTTTGTTTACAAGATTATTTACTATCCAAGTTTTGTCTCATTAACATTCATATGTATATCAACTATACATAAATAGGAGTTCAGAAATACTATTCTTGCTCATACTTATAATTTTCTTATGATTAAGATAAATATAAGAGAAGATTAGAAAATTAAGTGATGTGATAGAAAAAAAAATTGCATGTAAGAAAATATTGTAAAAATATATTTATAAAATGAAATAGATCTTAAGAACATACATATTATGTGTTCAGTCAATAATCTTTTTAAAGAATCGCCTTTTAATTTAACTATAAATGATTGATCTTTGTTGCGTAAATCACATATCCACAAATTCATGCACAGCATTATGAAAGCTGTAAAAGGGGTAAAAAGAAGAGATACAGAAACCACAAGTTACGCAATCTCATATATATAGTAAACACATTGAAACTTCCAAACACCGTCTTTAGGTCATCTTTATCCGGTTGGATTGGAAAATTGAAATTTGCAAGTCATTTATGAGCTAGCTGACATGTGATGTTGATTACACACGAGACCTAATTATTATCATCAGAATAATTATATTTCTCGGAGGCAATTAATTGTATAAAATGATAGTTCATATCGATGAATCTTTACATTTTTATCCTTATTATAATATATACCTACCTTAGTCATGTGTGGTCCATTTACTACCAAAAACTGACCCATCATGTGTTCATGCATGCGTGCACTACAGAGGTGGCTAAGCTGAATGCAACTGAATGGTACTTCTTCAGCTTTCGTGATCGCAAATATGCAACTGGCTACCGGACCAACCGGGCAACAATATCTGGCTATTGGAAAGCAACAGGGAAGGATCGTACGGTGTTCGACCCAATGACTCGTGAGGTTGTAGGGATGAGGAAAACATTAGTGTTCTATCGGAACAGAGCTCCAAATGGCATCAAAACGGGTTGGATCATGCATGAGTTTCGCTTGGAGACCCCACACATGCCCCCTAAGGTTGATTTTCACCTCTTTCTCTATCTCAATTTTCAAACGTGCAATGAATATCATTAATATTATCAAGTTTACACGATTTATACAATACTAAATGGCCACTTCATTAGGAATATACAGCCTATGATAAGTAAATGAGATTAGGGCGTATAGTACAGCAGGTGTCAATTCCCACGTAAGAGATTCAAACCTTATTATGATTGTAATTTCATTTAGCAATTGAAGCATTAAAGCTAGATGAATTGACTAATAGTTTCTTTATAAATAACTTTTTTTTTGAAAAAAAAACAGTATAGAAATTCAAGTTTTATTTATTATGTTTGATCACTTTCTTTAACAAGCTAGTAGCTAAATTAATAAAGTTCAAGACCTAACTCTAATTTGGATTAACTATTCAATATTTTTTTATGACAGACAAAAATAAAACAAGTTTTTTATATATATTACTATAAAATTACTCAAGACTCCTAATTTTTTAGAAGCTTTTTTATTTAATTTCTATAGATTATAAGATACATATATAAATTGATTTAAATTTATAAAAAAATATTTATTTCATCCGTTTTTTCCTCTCCTTTTAGTAAAATATATTGTACTAATAAGGTGTGAACATTGGAGCTGGAGCTGATTGGCTGAGCATCTTTCAGAGAGGGAAAAAAGTATGTATGAATGGAAGGACTTTATTGGTGCAATTGCTGTAGGTGTTTGAATTGGATAAAATAGAATATATTCGTTAGGGAAAAGAGATGGTTGGCATTGACACGTATTTTTGGTGTGAGGATTAAGCTTCTTTAAGCGTGTATTTTGGGTTTACATCTATTTTTGCTAATTAGTTCAAACTTTTTGTTGATTACAGGAGGACTGGGTTTTGTGTAGAGTGTTTCACAAAGGCAAAGCAGACAACAGTGCCAAACTCAACCCACAACTCATGTTTGAGACCACAACACTTCCATCCCTAACTTTGGCTTCGTCATCTCCAACCAACCAAACCACACCGGTTGGGTATAACCAACTTGCCCCTTTCTCCTCCTCAATGGCAACCCATCATCATCATCATCATCATCATCCAAATCAGAACGAAAACAACAATTCTAATTTCATGAACATCCTTCAGTTTTCTAAGGAAACAAACACCAACTCTAGCAGTGTTACTCAAATTAGTCCTGATGATGGATATGGCTTCTTATGGAACATGGATATGGAAGAAAATAGCTTTCATGATGGCATGGACTCAAACTTGGATGGAATGAGATTCGAGGTGGATAATAATAGTATGGTCTTGATATAAAAATTAAATTAAATAAAAAAGTGTTATTTGTACATATACATACATATACATATGTATGCTTCATATATCTCAGGCTACGGGAATTGTCGATTTGTGATGTGATGATGGTGTTTGGTTTCATGGGGCAAGTCACGTGCTTGGGTGCATGGTCATTGTTCAAGTGGTGCTCAGTGTGATTTAGGTTTTCTTTCCCTTTTTTTTTAATTATTTTTTGGGTGGGGGGAGATTACACAGATTAGCATTTGTAGAGGGAATTAGTGATCCTTTTAATTATGTACAATTTGTTAATTTATATATATTTAGTGTCCAACAATTAGTCACCAATTCTATTTATTACTTTTTAGATTGTTTTTTATCATTCAAATTTTTTAAAATAAAGGATATTCCCATTAGTGAATAAATATTTCTTCTTTTTTATAAAGTAAAAACTATCGAAGATTATATGCATGGAAATTTACAGCATTGGATAAATGAGTGTAAAAACTTAAAAGAGTAAAGAAGGACTGCATATCTAACTTAATTAACTACGATTTTGAAAAGCTTTGTGTTGATTTTATTTTGCTTTGGGGCAATATGAGGCAAACGTGAATGTATAAAAAAAAATACTACGTAATATAATTTTGAAATGTATTTTTTATTATTGGTCTAAAGACATTTACTTTATTAATTAATTTTAAAAAAACTATTTTAACTTTTAAAAAAATTTATCGATCACAAACAATGTATATTATTAACATTTTTCTATGAAAAAACGTAATGAATTGGGCGCACCATAAGCCAATTGCGTTAATTTTTATTTTTATTTCTATATTTATCTATCCTTATAGCATTTGTGTTTCCGCTTGAGTATTTTAAAAAATAATATGTTTTTTTTATATTATTTTTAGTTTTGTTTCCTATGAGCTAAAAAGATTGAAATATAAAAGAAAGAGCTAAAAAAACGGTGTTGATTTTTTTATTTTCAGCATTATACCAAAATATGTGCCCAACAAAATTCAATCACTTGGACCAATGCCTCATAACTTAAAAGAATTAAAATCTAAATAAAATAAATTATAAATAAAATATGTATTTGTATTCATACTTTTACGTATAGCAACTTTATTACCTCTACTCATATTCAATAAATATATGTATATTATATGTGTACTCAATTTTATTATTTGCATTTTAGTTAAATAAAATGTGCTCTATTTTTAATATTATAATTTTATAAAATAATAAATCAGATATACTATTTAGAAGTATAATATCTAGCTAAAATACAATATTGAAAGATTTTTTTAAAAGAGAATGAAAAAGAATGAGGAAAAATAATGATTAATACGAAATTACTTAAATTAGGAAAATTTAAAATTATAAATTATAAAGAATTTCAAAGTATTTTTTCATCTAAAAACTTAAAATAATTATTATATAAGTTTCTTCCTTCCTTTTCTTTTTTATAAAACTAACTCTAATGAGTTAATCTTCTCACGTTAAACTTGAAATTCCCAACTCCTTACTACTAGCTCTGACATTTTGTCTTGGCAAGGGTATCACACAATTGTTGTAAGATCGTTCTTCAATTTTGTCGGCAGAACAATATGATTGGTCGACCACATAGCTAGCTAGCAGCTTCATATAATTAGGATAAAAAGTAAATAATTATTTAACAAAAGTACAAGTAAATGAGTTATGATAATCATAATGGTATATAGAAAGAGTACGAGGAAGAAAATATAAATATTGTTTCTATGAAAATCAAACTCAACTACCAACTTACAAAATTATCTTTATTTGGATTTAGTCTTTGAATTAAAAGCATAATTACTGTAACAAGCAAAGTGCAAATTTAAGAATCTTACAAAGTTAGGATATGATCCTCTTAAACCTTAAGTAATCAAATTCTTCTCAACTCAAGTTTTAACATCTAATTAAAAATTATTTATTATACTAGGTTAATTTTAATTTCTTGATAAGTAGCCGTTTTCTTCCACATTAGGAACTATAATTCATAAGATTTTCCTAATTGGAATAAGCCTTAGTTTCAAAAATGTATAGAATTACATAATTATCAAATTTTATTCTTAGGATATCAATAAGTATAATGAATTACTTCAACATTCAGTTCATTAGTCAATTTTTTAATTATAAAAGTGAATCTAATATTAATTAATGGTTGATCAACCAGAAGAACCATTAACAATAAAAGCTAACAAACACTTAATTGAAGAAAAAAAAACTAAAATTACAATAGAAGGATTCAATTGTGATTCATCATCTTAACCTATAAACCTAATTACACATGATAAAAGAAAATAAAATCATAAGAAAAAAAAAGAGCTCCACAAAAAATTGATAAATCTACAACTTAATTTTTAAATGTTGAATTTCACCAACAGTAACGGCGCGAAGAGGGAGACAAAATGTTGCAAAGAGAATTGAAATTTCTACTACACAAAATTTTATAAACAAACTTTAAAAACTCTTCCAATATGATTTTTGCCTCTTTTTAAAGAATTAAGCTTGAAACCAACGTTTCTAAAGATGTTTCTAGGGTTGCTAATGCTAGAGTGACAAAACTTGTCCTTTCTTTTCAAGAACAAGTGGTGTTCTCTTGTCTAAAATTGAATGTAGACATTTTTATTATTATATGAAATGATAAAATAAACTGAAATCAATACAAATTGAATAAAACTCTATCACTAAAACACTTATAAAAGTCATTTCATTTTTAATGACAATTAAGCACCAAAATTACTTTTTTTATATATAAATATTAAGAAAATATATAAACTCCTCTTACTTTTTTAAAAAAACAAGTATCATATTTAAGACGTCTCGTACGTTGTTGCGTTGCATTAATAAGCATAACCATGCTAGGAACCAAAATCATTATAATATATATTCATTTGTTTTTAAACTTGGGAACATGAATGAACAAGTTTAAAAGGTAAATAAAATTCATAACATCTCTTCGGCAGACCAAGAAGAGCATTAGAAGGTCAAATCACTGAGCCCGTTGCTTGCGCCTAAGAAGGTTTCAGAAGGGTCATTTTCCATAATGACTGGATTTATACAAGTTTTGATTGAGGAGAGATATTTATCAATCCCATACCAAATTACATATGCTTTGTTTAACTTGTATTTCCAAACACAATCACTAAAAACACTCACCAGAAGATTAATGATAAACAAACTACAGTTTTAGAGTTTCACATACCATTCAGCTTGCTAAATATTTTGTTTAACAAGAATAACTTTTATTCGATAATATTATTTTTTTAATTATTTTTCTTTTACCTCTTCAATTTTTAAAACTTTCTACCTTTACTCTTTTTCATGTTTAACTTTTTAAAATCACTTTCATCACTAAATTTTATTAAAATATAATTAAATCCTTGAATGTTTATTTTTAATATCAAATTAATAAAATAATAGCTTAAGTTCATTCACATTATCTCATTTTTAATAAAAATATTTTTAAAAAAGAGTAAAATTAAATAATTATAATTTTTTAAAAATTATAATTACTAAATTCAAAAATCAAAACTAAAAATTAATAATATTTTTATTTTTATTTTACATTTATCACCTAATTTAATAATTAATTTTCTAAAAAAATATTTTAATTAATTAACATTTAATTTTAACTTTCAGCTAATTATCTTTACTAAAAGTTCAAAGGTTCAAGGCATGGCTTTGACTAATTGGACATTCTATGCCATAAGATTAACTAGTATTTATAAATAGAGACAAAAATAAGTTATACTCTCTGATACAGTCTAACATTTTTAAAGGCTAAATTGACTTAACCTAAGTAATAAGTTTTAGATTTTTTTATAGACTTAATTAATTCAATAGGTGAGCTTAAAAAAAATTTATTAGACCTATTAAAATGACTAATTTTAAACCCATAAAATTTATAGTAATATATTAAATAATTTTATATAAAATTATAATATAATATTATATTAAATAAAATAAAATTTAAAATTAATAAAATTTTAAATTAAAAATTCTAATCTTTTTCATTAAAGTTAAAGAGTGTTTTTATTACATATCTATATGAGAAAGAGTCTTATTTACTAAAATCTTTTATATTATTGTCGTTTGGTTTATATTATAAGTATAATATTAATTTATTATCTTAATTACATTTATCACTAGTTCGTTTCATTCATTGTCTTTTTACATATTTTTTTATATTCTATTAAACTCTTTTTTTTTATTTTTAAATTAATAAAATATTTTCTTTAATTAAAAATAATAAAATAATTTATTTATTTAAATGTCTAAACACGAAGTAAGTCATTAAAAATATTAATAAACTAAAACAAATTTTTATAAAGGCTAAATTTAAGATTAATAAAAGATTCATAACAGATAATATATTAGACTTATATTTCAAAATTTTTAAGTAGATCAAGCTTATTTAGTTAAAGTTTAACCTAATATAACCTATTTCTATCCTTATTTACAAACAAAAAAAAAAAAAACTCAAATAAATGGGTATTTATTTCGCTCCTTCAAATTAAAATCCTTATCAAGTATGTATCCATTTGTCTCTTTTTCTTAACATTATCTAGTCAGCATCTCAATTCATCCCCCTTGTATATAGTCCAATTCACAAACTTTTCTTAGACGTTAGAAAATAAAATATTTATTATACTTTTATATTTTTATATAATAATATTTACTTTTTAGTAAAACTTTATCATTATTTAGTGCTTGAAATCAATCTTAAAAACTATTATTAAGAGTTTATTTGATTTAGTTTTGATTTTTAATTTTTAAAAATTATATTTTAAAACAATTTTATAAAATTATTTTTAGAAAAATAAAATAAAATAAATTTTGTTTGATAATTTAATTTTTAAAACTGCTTTTAGTTATATTTTTGTTAGTTTTAAAAAAAATATCTAAATAATACTTCTGTTTTTCAGGTTTAAAAATAAAAAATAAAAAATAATTTTTAAAACTTATATTAACAAGCAATTTTTTTTATTTTTTTATTT